GTGTGTGTGTTGTTCTTATGGAGAATTCTCTTTCTTTAGATAAGTACACTTTTCTTGCTGTGGCTTTTACTTAATTTTGCTTTTCAGTCTCCCTTACCTTGCACTGTTACAACATGTTCCTGCTCAAAGTGCCCCCTTTTTTCCCTCCAAGCGGGCCGGTTGGTAGTGTTCCCCTGTCGCTCTTTGTGCAGTTCCAGGGAGAACAGGGAGTCATGAAAAATTCTGGAGCTTTACCTGTTTCCCTGATAGCTGGACTTACCCTGTTATTTGGGGTGGTTGGTCTGATCCTGCCTCTTGCATACATGTTGTGGATGTTTTTCAGAAATGCATTTTGAACACAGTTTAATGCTGTATAAAAAAGATCATGTTTTTCCATTTGGGTTTTGTTTCCTCTAAATACCTCAGCCTCACACTCCCTCTGGGTCTTTCAGCTATGCTTGTTTGCCCAGAAGAATTTCACTACTGAATCATTAATCTGCCTTTATCTTCTGCTTTGCATTTGCGTGTGAAATAATTCCTTGTTCCTCTTGTTATGTCTTCATTTGAAGATGTTTCTGCATGGGGTGTGTTTTTGTTCCTTTTCTATCTGGAAATTTGCAAGGGTCACGAGAGACAGCAAGATCAGGGAAATATGAAAGAGTAATTTCACACCAACTGTTCAGATTAAGTAAATCACATGTCAAATCGGATGACAGTGGTCACTTGCAGTGATCTGTAAAGCTGGGCTTTGCTGTCGGTGACAGAGCTGAGTTACGAATGTATTTAGAAGGCTTAGCCTGTGTTGTGCTTTAGCAGCTTAAATTCCTAGAGCAGAAGAATCTAAAAACTTGCAGTGCTTTCACCATCTGTGCTTTTCACTCTTTTGTTCTATATTTAGCTTGGAAAAGAAAACAAATTAGGTGGTTTCACTTTTTGGTTCTTCTACAGTGGCACATGGCTGCAGTACTGGGGCGGCAGATTCTGCAGGAGAACGTTTATAGCCAAACATCAAACCCTTGTAGCTGGGACAAGGGCTCTCTCCCTGCGAGCTGTCTGAAGCACCAGCTGCTTGCTGTGGGTTTGAACTTGAGTCTGGTTTGAACTCCTCTGAGGCTGCTCAGCAAGAGCAGTGCTTTGGTTGTGTTTACCAGTCTGTAATTATTCATGGAAGCGCATCTATTGCTTTAAAATAAAAACAGTGATTTGCCTTTACTTCTTTCTCGTTTTGTTTGAAAGTATGCCCTTTTAATTGTCATTTGTTTGGTTTTGGTTTTGTTTTTTTTTAAATAGTGCCCAGTACAGCTGTAGTAGGTGCTTGATCTCAGAGTATTGTAAAGGTGGCATTTATCCCCATTTGGTAAACAGGGAAACTGTGGCAAGCCAAACTGCCCAAACTTACTTACTATAATGCATAAGGGTTTGAGTTCTCAGCACTGCAGTGGAAATCCTTATCCAAATTATTTAATTTCATTAGGAAGCTTTTATCCATTGCTGCATCTGACAACTGCTTTGTGACATTTGCTTTTATTACATGTGTTAAAACGTGAGCTTGTGGAGTAATAGGCCCTAATAGGCCATCTAATTGCGCATGTTAGATGGTTTCCAGAGAGAATGCAACATGTAATCCTTCTGTTTGCAAGAAAAGAATAAAAGTTAGGTGTAGAAAATAATCAGATAATAGCTTCGCTTGCTGCAGTTCCAAAGGGCCAATGTGAAAGAGCCACTGAGTCAGAAGCCTCTGAAAGAAATAAAAGCTGGTGTCAGCAGGGGAGCTGGGGTGGGGTGTTGGGAGCAGGTTTGAATGCAGGGGAAGGAAACCACAAGTGTATCTAGCTTTGACAGGGGCCCTGGAGAACTGCAGCTGAGGAGGAATGTCAGGAATCTCTGAAAGTAGAGTGAGAAGGAAGCAGAGGAGAAATGAGAGAGAGAGAAAAATTGGCTGAGGTAACACCAGCACTATCACTAAGAAAATACAGAGGAAAACCAGTCCGGGAAATGAAACCTGTTTGCAGAGGGAAGAGTGTGGTGCTTGAGCCACCAGTCCAGGCAGCTGGCCCAGTTGATAAGAGACGTGCACAACAGAAATGTAGGTGATACTGGGCTGGTGGCCTTGTCTTTGCTAGAGCCATGCTTGTAGAAAGGGCCTGAGGCTCACAGAGACCCTTTCCTGAGTTTATGAAGTACTTGAGTGCCACTGGGTTTTTGCTCTGTTTTATTCCCCATCTGTTACACTGGATTACTAGGCACGTAGGATCTCAGCTGCTGTTTCATGTGTTGGTCAGGACAGTATCTGCAAGGTGCTGTGTTGCTGTAGAGGAAGACTGGGAACTGTGGAAGGGATTAAGATGGTGTTTGTAGCAAGGTTTTCTGTGTCATTTCTGTCACTTTCCTTTGCTTCTGTTGGTTGGTTTCCTCCTATCCTGGGTTTTGGAGATTGCTGAATGACAGGTAACGCTTTTGGACTTTTGTCACTTCTCTGTCCCGATGAGGAAGATGAGGCATGGCAGAAGTTGGCAGAACTGTCTTTCGCAGCATAGTATTGGAGCCACCTTTTTGGATAAATAAGATGGGCTTTAGAAACAGTATATTAAATAATCGTAGAAACAAAACAATTGAGTAGCACGTGCAGGGTGTAATACTTTGATGCTTGTAGATGTAGGTCAAGTACGCAGCCAGAAGAAACAGCATCATGTAACTCCTCATAAATTGTACTGCATCTTAGTAGAGCCTTTCTTCTCAGTGCCCAGTGGTTTAGGCCATATATCCCTTTTTCCAGACAAGATTGCCTTTACTCCTCCCCTCTTTTATTTGCAATTGCACCTAGTCCTTGCAACAGATAAAACCATTGCTAGTAGATAAGCGAAAATATCAGAAAAGCCTATAGTGTATCTTTAGTTTCTTCTAGATCTATTTAGTAGTTAGGAACATGTGGGTGTTGCGGAGTGTGCTGAGCTAGGAACGCGTAGGCTTCTGTGGGCTGTTGTTTCATTACTTGGATGTCAGAATCTCAGGATCCCTTCCTGGCCCTAAAAATTCATTTGGTATTACCCCTTCCACGCGGTTGTGCCACTTTCCTGCCACATGCAAAGAATTCAGAGCTGGCTCCGAGGCCCAGAACTGCTCCCTGCCTGTTCTGTAGCGTTACTGTGTTAGCTCTTCAGTTAGTCTTGGAGCTGTTTGTGCCTCTGTGCTCAAAAGTGTGTGATCGCCTTGCCTGTCCTCTACCCACCCCCACCATCAAAGACATGCTCGCAGGCTAAGACAGGACAAAGAAAGGATAAATGTTCCAATGTGGAAATCACTATAAGAAAATACAGTCTGAGTTCTCTGGTCTGTTTACTTCTCACTTGTCCTGAAGTGTTTTGCAGCATCGCTGCATGCTCGAACGCTGAGATGCAGCTGTGCCCTTGCAGTGACAGTCAAAGTGATGGCACATTCAGTTAGTAAAATTTGTTGGAAGACCTCTGATTTAGAAACACGTGCCTTCAGTATAAGGTGTGTGCTTACTGCTTAACCCTTCAGGTTTCTCTGAGTTTCCTGACCTTAATTCTAAATTAACTGTAAGAAATCTAAAGAGCATGGTGGGTAGGGAGGAAAGCAAGGAAATTGCATCTGGGAATGGCCTGATGAAGCTACAGAATCATGGAGTGATTTAGGCAGAAGAGACGTCTGGAGAGCCTTTGCCTGGGACAGAGTCTCTTTGCTAGAATTGAGACCCAACATTGCAATTTTGGCTTCAGCTGCTTTAATATCCTCCTTCAGTGATCAGGGAAGTTTCTACCGCTGAAGACGATAATTTGCCTAAAATAGCTGTTGCAGCTATGGGAAATACGTGAAACCACGAAGCTGCTAGCAGTTAAAAATTGATGATTAAAAAATCCATTACTTTTCCATCTGCGAAGCATTCTGTTCCTGCTTTTCAGTGCATTCTGTTCAGCCAGGTAATAAATTCTTTGGTGCCCAAGTGCCACAAAGCATACAAGTTGGAATCCAAAGCATGAAGGCTTGAAAAACAAATCCTGTAGCTAAAGCCCAAAATAACCCCCTCCTGCAGCCAGCACTCGGACAAACAACAGCAGAGGATAGCAGAGGAGGGATGTGGTGGTGTTCTCACACCTGCAGGGGCTTGCACGCATTTTGGCATGGCTGAAGAGGACTTGAGCAACACAAGTATGTTGCAGAGAGCAGGTAACCCAGGTGTCGATAACCTCTCTGAATTTCTAAGTTCTACATCTTGATCTTCATGTGGCTGAGAGCAGCAGGATACACGTCTCAAAAGGTGGGAGGGTTTGGGGGCAGATGGGAGATGCCCGCAGCTCACCTGCCGCAGGGCTGCCTTGGGTAGGGCATGCGGTTTGGTCTGGAGGGCAGTCAGCAGTCTGGTGCGTCGTGTGGCTATAGGGAAGTCACTTAATCATTTGGTGTCATAATTTCCCCAGCAGTTAAGTAGAGATAATACTAACGAGCCAGTTCGTACATTGCTCTGAAAGTAGCCCTGGGAACACTGGCAAATAGAAGCAGTTTTGAGAATGGGGAGGAAACAGTTTGTAGCACAAAACTCTGAGCCAATTTATAAGAAAAGTTTTGTCAAGTCTCCTGCCCAGCAGTGGCTGCTGTTTTGCAGGGCATCAGGCAGAGCTCCTGAGGTATCCAGCATTGAACCACCGGTAATAAGTTTGTCTCTGAAGTTCTTACATGCTGTGTCTAGCAAAGCATTTAAGGCTGGATGCAAACCTTTTAGCATTGTAATTTGGAAATTTCTTATTTTCCTAGTACATTTTGATGGCTTTTTTACTTTTAAAAATTTTAATATTGAGGAATTGTTGATGGAAAGACGGAACCCCAGGCTATTATGGAATAAAGTAATAAACAGCTACCACTCTTCGTTCAAGACAGGAGCGGGAAAACAGAGTGCGCACATAACAGGACGTGGCATTTTCCTTTCACAGAGCGTAATCTCTAAAATCAGCGTTGCTATGCTGCAGTTTACCAGAAGAACTAAATTGTCAGTTTTAACGAAGTGTGTGTCAGCTGCTGGACGCAAGGTGTTTCCAGCCACTTCCACTCAGCTCGAGAGGGAAGCGTGTGCCGTTTCTGGAATGCTAAATAGACTCTTGTTGCAGCAAAAATAAATTGCCCTTCAATAGCTCAGGAGGAAAATGTGGCTGGATATATCCTCGCATCAGCTGCTGGGTTTTGCAGAGCCTTTCGCTGGCTGCGTGGAACCTCTCCACATTGCTGCTACTCTTCAGACTGAGTGATGGGTCAGGAAGAGGGGCTGTTGGACATGACTCTTCTCCCCTTGTCTTATTTCTCCTAGGCTCCTTGAGCTCTTACCTCCTCTGCAGCTGCTCAGTTGAGTCTGAATTATGTAATAATCTGTTGTTTTCTGCAGGCTGGAAACAAAAATGCAGATTGAGTTGCAGGGTGAATAATTTGTTAAAATCTGAGAAGTGGGGCTTCTGACTAGTGCATTTATTTATATGTTTCTTCCTAGTTTTCTTTTGTGTGTTATTATTTGCTTGAGGTTTGGTCTTGGGAAATTCCCTGGCAGCTGACGAGGGTTTGCATTCCAGGTTTCAGAGCATGGGGCAGCTGGCATTTAAACTTTACTGAGCTTCCAGCTGATGAGCTAGAAATAGTAAAACAGTTCTCAGCGAGGTGGAGTTCAACCCCTGCCAAAACCCCAGCCTCTCTTCCTTTCAGATTAGTTTATGGTTTGCTTTACAGATCTCCTAGTACCAAATTAGTTGACAGTAGGTGTGGCGCAAGAGGCGGACCTAGTCTGGAGCCTTTGCAGTTTTCCAGTATTCAGAATGCTTAAGAGTTATTTCTGTTTGGGACAAGAAAGTGTCCTCAGGGGCCTAAGTAAGTGAGGATGCAGACTTCAGGAAGGAGTGAGCTGACATTCATGCTTTGTGTAATAGTTCGGTCTCGTCCTGATCTGTTTGGAAATGTTATTTTTTTTTTCTCTGCAAGTTTGACTTTGAATTGAATTTCTAAGTCTTTTTACCGTAGCCATGTTGTATTGCAATAGATAACTTGAAGCGAAAACAACTGATTACTCATAAAGATGTTTTGTGGCCCCTGTGAAACTGCATTTGGCTTTGGATGGTTGAGTGGTCCAGCCTCTTATTCAATGTAGTTGAAGCATGGAAAAACAGAAAGCTGATAATTTGAAGCCACCAGTGGCATGTGTATACAGGCACATCAATGTGCTTAAATCCACCCTGACAAGGAGCCTACCAGTATAGTGCTAAAGGCTGTTTCCAGGTTACACGGTAACTTGTACAGGGTTTGTTGTGTAACTTAAGTAGGGCCAAGTCATCAGGCTTATTGCACTGGGTCCTCTTTGTCCACAAAGGAAAATATTATTGCCTCCCAGTATATCTAGGGCACACCACTACTGTTCGCAGTGTAGAGCTGGAGTTAGGGAGATTTATTTTCAATAATAAGACATGGTACTTTCTGTCTTCTAAACAATTTGTTAGCTTGGTATGGATCAGATTCTGTTAAATTCTAAATGGCTTTATACTAAGTTGGTATGATACTAACTAGATTAGTACTAGATACCATCTAATACTATGCATAAATTAGTCTTGTCTTCTGCTAATTCAGTCTGTTTCTCTTCCTTGTCTGCAACTCTGAATCTCTCGATCTTGAGTAGTACTGTGCATGCTCACCAGACAGATTGCTCCACGGTTATACCAAAACCTTGAGTAAGTAAAATGGCTTTTCTTCCTGAAAGGGCTTTTACTACTTCTTCCTATGTGTCTTTGAGGCAACTGTTTTTTCCCTTTTTACAGAAGTTTTGATCACTTGCCTAGTTTTATTTCCTCAAAAAATATTTTTCAGTTCATTCTCAGACACATATCTTGCAGTTAAAGCTTCTGCTTCTGTCTTCCTTGGAAGTTTTCCTGTATTTGGAGGTCACCGACCTTTTCTTTTACTAGTCATGAACCTTTTTTTCCAAGTAAACATGCTCTTTGGCTTCTGAGATAAGAAGGTTTAATATGGGGGGAAATGTCCTATCATAGAGATTGCTGGACTGCAGAAGATCTTCCCAAGGAAGATGGAAATCCCATTAAATGGCCTGTCCAAAACCTAACCAGAGAATGCTCTGGGAAAGATCTTGGGTAAGGAGCAAATCTGCACTGGCCAGAATATAGTTTTTTCCATGTCTAATTTCTGTCCTTCTGCCATAGTTGCCTAGATTACGTATTTGTGTTACAAATTAAAGCAGAAAATCTTCATCTCATCCCTTGCTGTTACTCTTATGAAGGCACAAGCCTTGTCTGCAGCAGTTTCCCTGGGGCCCTTAATATTGCTTGCCTGTTTCCAGATTGCAGCTGACAAGTTACTCCCTTTCTGGCTTACTTGCGTTTTGAGTATTTTTCCATCTGCAGCTGTGGCAAGTATTGCGAGCCATACAGTTACTTGCTTCTGCCAATAGATGATGCTTGTCATTAAGTAAAATCAAGGTCACTGGTGTATTGCTAATTAGTTCTCACATATAATAACCATAGTAACAAAGATATTAATAGAAATAGATGTGTTTAGCTGTAGGTAGCGGTTGCATACAATAGACAATGATTACTGAATAACTGCAGAAGAAGCTGAGGCAGAAAATCAGAAGCTACTGACGAGAGGGTTCCCGTACCACGTGGCAGCAAGGAAATGAGATGGCTATGAAAAGAAGTTTTATGATTTCAGACGTCTTCTCCTGACATTATCTGTCTATGTATTTGCTCAGTTGGAGACAGTGTGGCCAGACAGCTACAAATGTGAACATGAATTTATTATTTATGATTATAGCCTGGCTTCGGGCCAGCAATCAGATTTGGCCAAGCTCCCTCTTGCAATCAGTGAGTTTGTGGCCTCTGGATATGCAAGCTGATGAATCGGGCAGTTATTCTTTTAGTAGTGACATCATTTTTTATATATATATTCAAGCTGATGATTGACCAAATAGACTGACACTCCTGTGCCTTCCCCATTTAAAACACGAAATGAGGCTTCAGAGCAAATCAAATCATGATGTCGGAAACTTCCCAAGAAAGCTGAGGGTTTCTGTAAAGAACGTCATTCTTCTAGGCCAAGTCCCAAGAAGGCGTTGAGGTTTAAATGAGCTAGGTGGTGTTAGCTTCTTAGGAAGGACTGAGACCTTCAGTCTGCTATGAAATTAGGATAGCATTGTTAATGGCTGTATCTGTCTGCTTCTTATGAACATTGATTGAGAACATGTTATCTAAAGTGGAAAGAAACAGTGGGAAACAGGCGGTAGGGAAAACTTCTCCGCCAACCACTGAGCTATGTAAGAGGCTTGACCTAGCGGGACTTCCCTAGCTATAGCTGTGGCAAGCTTCTGGCTTGTATTTTCCATTGCGGTGCTTATGAATGCAAGACATTTTTATGCACTTGAAGGCTTTCTATGGATGCTGGTGGCTGTGGCGGCCCATTTGGCTCTTGCGCAGCAGACCAGCTTCTGGCTGGCAGACACTTTCCGAGACAAAATGTTTCTCACGGTATTGTTGGTGTGGACATATGTGTGCTCATGTAAGTGTACACAGATGCAAAATGCCCTTGTGACTCTGCACTGACAATTCCATAGAAGACAGAAAAAGGTTTTCTGGTTTGACTTTGGTCATGGTAATCCTGGCAAGCTCAAAAGGAGTGCTGTCCTTTGAGTTTACTGGCTTAGTGCTACATGACTTCTGTTAGAGTTGCAAAAAAAAAAAAAAAAGTACAAATATCTCACACTGTCAGTTTTCCTAATAGCTACCATTTTCATTCACTTTTCTCTAAGCCAGCAATCTATGCTGCCAAAAATGTTACTGTTGATGAGTATGAATGGAGCAAGTCTGCCAACAAACATCTAAAATTGTCTGCTCTCACTGCGTTTTCCTTCCCCGACAGTGACCAAAGCAGTTTCTTTCAAAAAGTAATGAAGATTTGGCATCTATGAACTACAGAGTTCATAGGCACATCTGTTTTCCTCTTGTAAGCCCCATCTATCATGCATTATATGTATCAAAATGTCTTAAATGTGAAGATTATTCCATTTTAAGACCTCAGATTCCTTTACAGGGGGAGAAACTGAGAGCAGAGGACTTGGCAATAGGCATACCTTCAGGAATTTTGACTGTGTGGTTTAAAAGAGATAATTTGTTTCAGTTCTAGATTTTTGTTTACAAAACTTGCAGCTTCTGTTGTCCCACCATCGGTGGGGTCTGTAACCTCTCCTTCGCGGGTGGAATGGCCCATCGTGGTGCGTCTGGAACGCCTCGTGAACAGGATTCTTCTGTAGAGTCTGGTAGTACTCTTGGTACTTTTCTTACCTGTTCAGCA